TCTCTAAAGCATTTGAATTTTAAATTATCTGTAATATGTCCTTGTGTTATGAAAAAGACATAGTAATCTCATTTGTTTAGACAGAGCACACACGAGTTTTTATATGTGTGGGAGAAGGAAAGAGAAGCTCTTTTTTTATGGTTAAGCAAAAATACCCAGTTGTTGGGGAGGATAAAAATTATTTCTAGAGACCTGCAAATGAGTCATGTCATGCTTAATTCAATACTAAAATAACTTCAGAACATTTCCAAGGCATCAAAATTCTATAATCTTATAAAGGTAATAGTCAGGAGGTACCCTTTTTATAAAATAAACACTGAATCATAGAAAGATTTAGGTTGTAGGGCCTCTGAAAGCCATTTAGAGCGACCTCCCAAAAAGAGTATTGGCATCAGTTCAGTACTTCTGTGTACAGTGTTTTCCGTAAGATATATATTTACATGTAATTTTGACTAATAGAGTTCTATTTATGATTACTTAAAGAAGGATAATTATATATTTTTTAAAAATCTGTTAAATGCTGCGGAGAGCATCCAAAACAAGAGCATGTGTGGGCTAGACAAACCTCCCTCAGGAATGATTTAGGTGTAGTTGATTTGTGTTGGGAATGGATTAGGTAACACCTAGGCATCCCTTCCAGAAATACTTCTCTCTTAATAGCCATTGACCATTTATTGATCCTTTGTAGTATGCCCCTTAAGATTACACAAGATAAAGAGAGATTTGAACAGTGCAAGAGGAGTTTAGAATGAACTGAATTGAAATCTGCAGCTCTTTTGGTGTGTCAGACTAATGAGGTAATGATGCATGCAACTGTTGTCTCTTATCCCTTTGTCTTTTTGTTGTTCGTTCTTTTCTTTTTTGTTGTTGTTTTACAGCTTAACAAATTTGAAATGAAAAGTCGGTTAAGTCGATTTATAGCTGAAGACCCGCTGGATCTGCTCCTGCCCAGGGAAGAAGCCATCAGGCTGAGCACCGAAGCCTTCCGGTTGTGGGCTGTGGCGGCTGGCTATGGTCAGGCCTGTGATCTCTACAGGTACAGCCCAAAGCTGGAGAAATGGGGGTGGAGGGCACCGCGGTGAAAATGGACATTCTGTTCTAGAGGGGCAAATATAGGGATCTCCAGGCTCAATCTCTACTCCTTTCAGGGAGTCTTATCTCCCTTTCTCTGGCCTCTTGCAGTAAAACTCACAGTTTCTAAAGGTTTTTGTGTTGAGTATTGTCTTTTTTCTGGTTGTTCTTTACCTCCTGTGTTTAGGCACTGGTATTTTGTTTCTCCTCTGTACTATGGGAGATCACCCTAACTTTTTAGAGCTGCATCTTTTTTCCCCTTGAAGGCATGAATAATCTGTGCTTGCGTGACATCAAGACACATAGTTTGCAGCACACCTAGGATTGAATCTGATGACCTAAAGACAGTCTGTGGGCAGCAATCACCAGCATGCATGCTAAGTGAGGCACACTGATGCAGACAAACTCTGCGTGCTGCATCGACTTTCAGCTCAGTACAAGTTCTTGTGCTTGACCATCAAGGTCTGCGCTGGGATAAGTCTGACCTACCTCAAGCATTGAATCTTCTTCCTGTAATTGCACTGACTTGGAAGCACAGAGATGGCTATGGATTTGCTCTGAAGAGGAGTAAAAGGGAGGCCAGTATTAAGTTTCAGAAGGGAGATTCTCTCTCTGCAACAGCATTTTGTGTTCTCCAGCCCAATCAGGTGTATTGGTTAATAAAGAGTAAAAACTGTATATAATTTTTTAGCACTGTAAATAACGTTGAGGAAAGGGACACAGAAGATTCCTTAAATTTGCATGATTATAACTGTGGATACTTTGGCTGAGAATTTGAGAACTAGGGAAACAAGAATAAAATAAAAGTAGTTTTTCCAAGAGATTGTGAGAATACTTGGAGGCAGAGTATTAGGTAGGTCCCATTCAGACGAATTTGGAATGACAGTATTCTTCCTTTGTCATCTTTTTTCCATGTATGTTTATTTTTATTATTTTGGTGGTGGTGATGGTTCTTATAATCTCATTTTATCAATCTTTATAAATATGTGATGGGACGGTGTAAAGAAGATAGAGCCAGGTTCTTCCAGTGGTATGAAGTGAAAGTACAAGAAGCAATGGGCACAAATGGAAATACAGGAAGTTTCACTTAAGTGTAAGAAAAAAATTTTTACTGTGGAGGCGATCAAACACTGGAGCAGGTTGCACAGGAAGATTGTGGACTCTGCTTCCTTGAAGATACTCAGAATCCAACTGAACGTGTTCCTGGGCAAACTTGCTCTAGCTGACCTGGCTTGAGCAGGGAGTTGAACTATAGATCATCTTCAGAGACCCCTTCCAACCTTATCTATTCTGTGATTCATACTATAGGGATCTCTACCCTGTGCTGGTGAGGATACTGCAGTCCCTGCCTGAATTGCTCAACACTTGCCGTGGGAAGAGCCCTATGATTGAGTTGTCTGTCCAGCGAGCTACGGCAGTAGTTACTTTGCTAATACACGTGACGCAAACAGCAGGCTACACAGCAGAGCTGCAGGCCAAGCTGAGCAGGTAAGCCTTCTCTGTCACCAGTTCTGTGTATCTGAGTAGTTGGCATCCTGTCTTCCCTCTCTTTGGTTTGGACACCTGGCTATCACCTTTTTTTCCTTCATTTTGGATGGTTTACTGTCCCACTTGTGAATGCCTGCATGGTGGGGTGTATTGCCTCTGACATAAGGTCAGAAGGGGTATCTAGTCTGACAGCTGTATAGCTGCTAGCCTGGTAAGAAGCAGGAGTAAAAATCTGCATTCAGCTATGGGCAGAAGGGCAGTGTTAGCCAAATGCCTTGCTGAAAGGAGCTAGGAACGTCCTTTGACCTTCCCATTGGGGAAAAGAAAGTAACCTCCCTGAGGTTTGGAGGAAAGAACCTCTCTGCAGAGACCAAGATGAGTCAGGATTAAGAGGTGGTTGGTTTTGATAGACATCAAAGCAGTATGGTTTGCTGAAGACACAGCTACTTTTTCTGGTGAAAAGCAAGAAACTCTTTACCTAAAGCTGGATACTGAGGTAGTGTATCCAGTAAAACTAGAGCATAGCTCAAGGACAGAGTAGTGCAGGTGAAGAAACTTCAGCTTCCATGAGTAGATTCTGCATTCGTCCTTTCTGCCAAAATTGATTTGGTCCGATCTGTGGGAATGTGCAAAGACTTTTTTTCCCCTAGTGGCTGTTGTCGGGTATCGCCTTCCAGACTACATGCAATTGGAAATCTTGCTATTCACAATGATGATTCAGAGAGAAAATTGTTTCTGAGGCATATTTGCTATCCTGTATCATTCTTCCATTGTGTTTCAGTAACAACTTAGAAGATAGTGAACAGATTCCACCTCCTCCAGTAACGTGGAATCAAGTGTCAAGCTTACAGCCCTTCCTTGAGACCAGTCTGAAAAAATTCCTCCAGGAGATATCCCAGACAGAAACATGGCAAACTCTCCAGCCTCTGACCACAACTTATGTGATCTACCTGGGAGTTTACTACAGTGCTTGCAGCCAACAGGTAAGGCCTGAAAATACAAGGTGTCTTTTCATCTCGCCAGCATCAGCTTGTGTATTACCTCTGAAAACCTGAACTTAGAGGCAATGCTGAAAAAGACAGACGTTAAGGCATCTAGCTGAGGACTAGATTTTGTTTACCACAGCTCACATCTAGGCTGAGTGGCATTTAGGGTCAGATAAGTCTGCTGATCCTTCACATTAGTAGTGCCAAATATCACTGTCTTCCTTTCTTCCTTTGGGCTCAGAGTCTCAGTCAAGGTATGTGGTAGTGCTGTGGCTGTTCTGATTTACTGCAGAGATCCAAAGCATGAAGCAAATATGACCTAATTTAGTTTGGTAGTCCTTTCTCCTTGTGGCCTAAATCAAGTTGCACGTTTTTGCATTTGCTGTGGTTTGAGAGCATACATGTGGACAGCTACACTACAGTAATCTGGTTGGAAGATTGAGCGTTGAGGGTCATGCCATATGAACTTTGGATAGGAAACAATAAAGGTAAATTTATTTGCTGCCCCGCTGACATTCAAGGTAAAATTCTGTAATCCAGTTACAGCTGTAGTATGTGACCATCTTTTAAAGTGAGTTTTCTGAAGGTGACACATCAGTGTGATGCTGTTGAAGAATAATGTCTTATGCTTTAGCTACCTTAAAGATTCATGTTCTAAAGATAAATGCAAGTTTCCTCTTTGCTGCCCAACTGACATGCCTGAGTTCTGACCTGGGAGAGCTGTCTTCAGGGTGTAGGGGTAATTTAATGGCTGTAGTTATTCACACTTCTGCAATTCCTCTGAAACTTGCCCAAAGCAACTGAATTTGTTAGTTGTGGCAGCGGTGGAAACCGCCAGTATCTTTCAAAGATGTCTTCTGTGCCCCAAAGGTTGGTAGTACCCTTCACATGCTGTCATTAGGTCCTGAGCGTTAGAGAATGAGGATAACCACTCCTTTTCAAACTTTATAGATATCCCAGAAGAGTGGCAAACAAAATAATTTCTTAAGCCCTTGAACTATGACATAAGATTTTTTATTTCCACTTAAAAAAAGTTCAATCATCTACCTGTGGTTAGCTAATCTAATTTAAAAAAAAAAAAAAAGTGCATGTAGCACATATGAGTGGACTAGTGCAAAAAAAAAAAAATCAACTTGTATAGTAACTAGATTAGTGTATACTGGGATCTTCTTGGAATATTTTTGTGAGATGACTAAGAACTAAGGTTCATCTTCATGTCGATTTTACTGATTTCTGGAGGGGGATTTCACCTGGGGGAAAATTAGATTTTACGTTATAGAAATGAGTATTTCTGTATCCTAAAGCAGCATTCTAATGAAGGGAAAGAACATTAAAATTTGCCAGCATGTTCCTTCAACCTGGAATATTGCTTACTAAGGTCGGAAGAATTTGGATGGTTCCCTAAAAGCCACAGATCCTCCTCTGTGCAGTGTTCATCCACAGTCATGCTTTGATGGGTAGGTCAATCACACTTTATACAGCTGATTTTTTTTTTTTTTAATAATTTTTTTTTTTTTTGAGACCCTCATGGTGCCACTCTGCTTTCTCAAGGTAATTCTGATCACCTTTGTGTTGTCTTAAAGTTAAATGGAAAGATCACACGTAGATGGTATGGGGAGGGGGGTTTAGCCACTTAGGGCAAGTTTTCATTTAGGAAATCTTGATCCCAAGGATCCCATTCCTTGCTTCCAGCCAATTAAGAAATCCCTGTGATGCATTTTAATACTTGAGTGCAAGCACACCTTGAGATGCCAGCTGTCAGCTTCCACACTACCAGCAGTGAGGCCAGCTCTCACCTAGAGCAGTACTCCATGTAGGTGATGTGGTCTGGCAAAAAGATAAATGCAGAGAAAGCAATTAAATCAATCTGTCTTTTTGCCCTCCCTGGAATGCCTTTATTCACCATCTTTTCCTGTCTTTGTGTCATCTGCAGCCATCAGTCAATCCAATCGACTGCTTAGAGGAACTGGAACGTTTGACGTCTGAGGTGCTGCAGCCCCTTCTCAGCCAGCCAGCCATACACAGCATGTGGGACCTGCTCAGGTAAAATGACTTCACTGCTAAGATGCTGCTGCCAGAAGCTAAGGGAGCTTTGTTTCTATACTGTACTGTGTGGCAGTTTTCCCTCTCCCATTTCTTTTCCCTGTACATATGTGCCCCATATGTGTCAATTAGAGTGCAGTAGGGCTCTGTCTACACCCTGCTTTGTCCTCTCTCCCCTCACAGCAAAAAGCATGGTGGCCGCAGAGGTTCTCCAGTTCCTCCTTTCCTAGTGGTGCTGCTGCAGGGTCTGCATCTCTGCCCTTCCATGTAGCTGTGTTTTTCGTATCAGTTTCAGATTGATTTTAGTCACTCTTGGCTTTGATTCTTCTTTGGTTTCACTCGTTTTTAAAAAAAAAAAAAAAGTAACATCAATTTGAGTCCCTCTTACATCGGGGAGGTGAGTGTGTGTGTGCATGTACCATTCACGTGCTCTGTGTGATGCTGCTTATATAATATAATTTAAACTAGACTGTCATCTTTAAGCTCCTGCAGAGCATCACTAAGGCTTTGAAAGCCCCTGCAAGAAAGTGAAAGGCCAGATATCCAAATGTCTGAAAGAACAGTTTGGTAACATAAGCTTTGTCTCTGGGAACTGCAGATATTCTGTCTTTCTGCTGTAGAGGGAGCCTCCCTACTAGCCTGTGATCAGCCCTCTGGAGAGGGGGAACTTAAAAGGCCTAAGCTGTAGTCAGGGAGACATCTGGCTGCTTCTGAGAACATCTGATATAAGAGACACTTGAAATCTTTGGTTTTAAGTGGTTATTTGAATGGTCACCATACAGTTTGGCCCATGTTCTTTCATGACTGAGAACTGAGGTCTGAAGCTTTTAGCACCAAATCTTCAACGCAAGGGCACTCATTAGACCCTTTTCTGCCTGTCCTTGAGGTCTGAAAACAATGGGTTTGGTCAGGCTGTAAAAGCTCATCAGCAAGAATTCTCTTAGGCTGTTTTTAACGCTGGCTGGTGAAAATGAAGAGTCAGCTAATCTCTGCCTTAATATTTTGACAATCTTGTCTAAACATTCTGGGCAGATTCGGACCAGGAGTTCAGGGTACTCTGTGAGCCCCAGATGTGTTCACGTGTCTTCTGCGTGGTAATGCCAGTGGAAAGAAGAGCAATGCATTTAAAGAATTAGTTCTTTGTCATAATGATATGGATCTTTGACAGGATTTGCTCTGTTGCCCCATTACCGTTGAGCAACATACCTATCGTCACTCTTCCTTGTAGTGGTCTTGCCTGTACAGACATGGTATGTCTAGTGTGGGCCCCGTAAGCAGTGCTGGTATGAAAAGTTCTAGTTTCGCCCATGGAGAGTGAGCGCACACACCAAGAGCGGTATGCACGGACACGTTCACATACATTAAAGCTAGGTTCTTTCTGAATAGACTTTAAAAATATGCATTTCGTGACTACATAAGGGGCAGCATTTTTGCAATGTCAATTTTAGATATAAGCTGGCTTTTTGGCTTTGCCTGCCAGTTTATTATTGAAATGTCTTGAGCGGGTGGGCAGCTTTTTTAGCCTCGTTTATGTATGTACACGGGGAAATGCGTATTTTTTTTTCTAATCAAAGGCCCAATGCTTTCAGATGTTTGACATCAGAGATGCGTCACTGCATCAGTATTTCTGCATGTCATGAACAATTTAGCTGAAAATTAGAATTCATGACAGCTCACTAGCATTAGCTTGTATGGCGACAGTGCTTACATGACCAACTGTGATACTAGGTTTTTTCTTGCACAGTCTTCGGGGCTTCCGTTTTATTGCAATGTGTGGCACAGTTCACATAGTAACATTCCTACAAGACAATTCTTCAGCAGTATGAGTGCTTTTGACCTGACCCCTCTGTCTTTATCTGTTCACACAGGCCATGTTCTGCTTTGTGCAACCCTTTGTCCTGTTCCCCAGCGCCAGAATCTGTCTTCAACATTGCATCTCTGAGTTGCACTGGAGGCAAACCTCCTCTGAGCCTGGTTGGCTCCAAGTCACCTTTCCCCTTCCTCACTGCCCTCCTATTCCTCATCAATAGCATCACTCATATTCACAAAGGCCTGACCAGCAAGGTGAGAATAGACTTTTTCACTGTAAGTTCTAGGTGAATGATTCTATGCTTGTGAGAGAGGTTAGTATTTGTATCTTCCCAGGCTTAAGAGTGATGTTAGTAGGACTATTAAAAAGGAATTGTTGTGTATTTTTATTTTAAAAATCTCAAAGTACTGTAGAGAGAAATACCCTCATTTTCAGAACAGGTGGGAGGAGGATCTGAAAAATATCTTCTGTCTTTGAATTCCAATATCCAGTTGACACTGGGAAGCTGGAATTACAGAGCAGGTGATGAATGATGATGATGCTTAAAGGATGGATTTATAAAGAACGTTGAGAAGGGTTAAATAACTGTTGTTTGGCTAAGCAAAATGGATAACAGTGTCAGAGGAGGAAAGGGATGGTTGAAGTATATATAACAAAGAAAAATGGGATAAAATTAAACAAGAGAATGAGTGCTACAGTGGCTGAAGAGGTTTCTTCCACTTTTGGTTGCCCTGAATGTTTAGAATGAGAGAGTCACGGAAGAGTGAAAACTCTGAAGAGGAAATGGCAGAGCCCTAGGGAGATGGAGTACCTAGCATAAGCTTTCACAAAACCTTCCTCTGTCATCTTGTGTTGAATTAGCTGACCGGTTACTAATAGCAATATCTGGACAGATGAGAGAAAAACTTCTTAAGCCACTGGCCAGCCTTCTGCCTTACAAAGCACTATGGAAAATGTAGGCAGTGACTATTGGTTACCGGTGGTGGGAATGGTCATGATGGATGCAGGTGAGACCTGAGGCAGAAAAACAGATATTTATCAGGCTATTTTTAAATATCCTTTTTGGAGTAGCCAACAGGAATTCTCGTGGGAGAAGGTTGCGGGTAGGCCTTGGAGAGGGCTATGTTTTACTTTCCTCCAAGCACAAGCTTTTCTTAGTAGTATTTGTCTCCACTTCTGATTCCTTTATAGTACAGCTCTGTGCTGGGCTTCAGAGGCTTGAAGGATTATCTGCATCAAAGCTGGCAGACCAGACCTCCCTCTGTAACGCCCTCATCTGCATGGATCCTGCGCCATGAATATCATCTGCAGTACTTTGTGTTAGCGTTGGCTCGGAGAATGGTATTGTTATTAGTCCTTTCATTTCTTTCACCCGAGGAATTGACTTCACCCTGGCCCCTCCAACTCATTGTGTCAGACTGGCAACTGGTCTTTGCATCCATGTACTTTCTCATATTTGACTTAGGTCTGGTGACTCTTCAGCTGTCTTTTAATGTCCCATTAGCAAATAATATCTTTACAGTTACTGATGTGGGCATTTAGATCCAAAATACTTTGGATGGCAAAATTATATTTTTGCCTGTCTTTGGGCTAGAGTGAGAACGAAGTTTTCATGTGTGCTGCTAAAAAAGATGTCTGACTATCTAAGACAATCAGGGGAAGCAGAAAGATCTTGATACGAATGCTGACAGTTCTTGCAGTCTGCCTCAGTCTCTCACTTTCCAGCAGGATCTATGTCTTGGCTGACCCTCCTGTCCTTGTTGATTGCCTTCTTGACAAATGATACAGTGCTTTTATCTGTTGTTTTGTTTCCTGTACAGGCAGGCACTTGTCCGGATTATGCCCCGCATGCCTCACTCCATCACTGTGTTGCCATGGCATTGCTAAGCCGTCTGTTGCCAGGGAGTGAGCATCTGGTTTATGAGGTCCTACTGGATCTTGCCTTTAATCCAGAGTTCCTTCCGTAAGCTTTGCATTTTTTCCTTTCTGTAGTTTGGTATATGGGAAAACTTGAGAAAATTGAAAAAGCACATGTTGGCACTGCAATTTTGTCATAATTTTGGGGCTTTAATAGGGCCCATATTCAAATTTGAGTTACTCATTGGCATATTCTCCAGTCACAAGGCCTTCTAATCAGACCAGCAGTGTGGTTGCAGATTTCTCTCCAATGTACCAATGCTGAGAAATGTGACCAGTTTCTTTTGATCTGCTCTGTGGCAAGAGTCCTGTAATTCCTGATAAAACTGGTTCTCACTAAGGCCCAGCATCTGCTGTCCTGAGAGTAGTGAGTCTAGAAAATACATGGGAATTTGACATAGCCTGAAAAGCCTATTAAATCTTTCTCAAACCCTTACTATATACAAGTTCTTACACAAATTTTTGCTGATTTGACAACTGTGATGTCTTCCACCTTACACTGGAAGAAATCATGAGCATCTCAAATGTGAAGCCTCTGATGTTTGGCGAAGAAAATGGTAGCAGTTTACCTTGTTCATCGCAGTCTCTCTGAAATTTGCCATGACGCATCTCTATAGGAGGTTGGACCAAGGTGCTCCAAGGAGATACTATAGTATTCCTGAAAGAAGGAAAGTTTGTGGGTGGATTTGTTTGGGTGTTGTTTTTTGGTTTTTTGTTTTGTTTTGGTTTTTTTTTTAAACAAATACCTGCTATAGAGCTACCATTTTGTGAGAATTTGGCAAGTAATCTGAGAATATGGTCAGTCTCTGGTCTGAGATCGTGGCACATGGGTTTGACAAACACTCCTCTACCCCCAGTTTCTAACTACCAGTCTGTATGGTTCCCCTGACCTTGCCACTGCCAGCTGCAAAGCTACTATTTCGAGAATTGTCTTATTGATTCATGTAGGCCTTGTATGATATGCGGTATTTCATCTCAGCACCCTGACAGCTGTGTTGGTAAGTAGACTGCTTCTCTGGACGAGGGGTTGCAGCCTCCACACCAGACTGCTGGCATTGTGTGGGGGTTTTTCATGGCAAGGCCTTAGTGTTGCTAACTCCAAATGTAGTTCTGTAAATTCCCTGTAAATACCAAGATGGCTGATGCTTTACAGGCACTCAGTATTACCATAGCTGAATGCTGTAGAAAGTATTGTGAGTGCTGTGCATATACTACTCTCCCTGATCCAGGAAGATTGTAGAGATGAATTTCTGTGGTGTTTTGTTTGTTTGGTGTTTTGGGGTTGGTTTTTTTGTTTGTTTGTTTCTTAAACTGATGTGTCTTTATCTTACAGTGAAGGGAAAGCTGGAGGGCCAGAAGCAGCTGACTTCTCTGATATCCTGCATCTGGGGACCAGTGCCAAACTGGCACAGCCTGGCTCTGCGGCAGCATTTTTTTCAAAGGCTACTCGTGGTGCCCTGCTGAGAGAATCATACCAGAATCTGCCTTTCATGCGCTCCTGCTACCTTTCTCATTTTGTCCACTTGCAGCCTACCCTTTTGCGTTCCCAAGCATCCTACCAAGGACGGAATTATCTCATCCAGTCAATGCTGCTTCCTGAGGTCAAAGGGCCCATCCTCCCTTCCGACTGGCCGTTCTTTCCGCTTATCAGCCTCTACAACAAAGTGACTAATGCAGAGACACGTGGGGCTGTACTGAACTCTCTCCCACTTGATCTCGTCAACACTGTGACCTGGAACCTGCAGTGGGTCTTGTTGCTGGAAACCTGGCGTGCTAAAACCCTTCAGAGCATCCCTGCTGCTGCCAAACTTGCACGGCTTATGTGTGTCTTCCTCACAGGTGGTGACCTTTTTCTAGAAGCACCGATCCACCGCTACACAGCTGCCCTTCTCTCTGTGTATTGCCAATCCAAGGCATTGGATTCACTGAACTTGGATGCTCCTCTCCCTGGTTTGGCTTCCTTCCACGATCTCTATATAAGTCTCCTAGAGCAGTTTGAAGGTGTCTCCTTTGGAGATCCACTCTTTGGAGTCTTTGTTCTTCTACCTCTACAGAAGCGTTTCAGCGTTCATCTACGTCTCTCTGTTTTTGGGGAGCACACAAGTATCCTGCGGGCACTGGGAGTGCCGCTCCAGCAGGTAATCCTGGCTTATGGTGGTTGCCTGTCACTGCCTATTTCTGGGTTACTGGGCTCTTGCCTGTGTTTCTCCAACCTTGATCTGGGCATCCTCCCAGCACTTCCCCTTCTTCCTCATCCCTCCTTGTCCAGTAGAATAATCATGCTTTCTTTGCTTAGAAGTTTTTCATTCTTCCTGAAGAAAGTTCAACACATGGAATGTAAAATAGAATAGGAATGTAGAACAATGTTCTTTTGATTTAGGGCTGTGACAGCAGTGTATACATTTTTCTCGTTTCTTTTTCTTTCTTTTTTTTCTTTTTTTTTTTTTTTTTTTTAAACAGCTTGATTGATTGTAAGTCTGAAGAACAGAGTCCAGTCCCTGTAGGTGCAGGCCCTTGTCACATAATCGTTTTCAGGAACCTGTTGAACTTTGTTTTGAGAGCAGATAGTGTGTATATGTGGAGGGTAGGAGCTGTGAAATTGTTCAGTCTTCAGTGGAAACTGTCCCACACCCTGCTTGGTTTAATGATTGAGAACCTCCTTCTAATTTATGGCCTGTATATATGTAGGGCTCCTCCATGTTCTTCTGCCAGCAATCACCTTTCCCTTAAATAAGTCTTTTCTCACCTTGGTGAGAACCTTTTCCTTGCCCAATGCGTGGACAAACAGTCATTTTCCCTCTCAACCATGCTTCCACATTTAGTTATACTGGAGTTGTGCTTTGCTGGGTAACTCAGTGAAATATTTGATCTGTCAAGTGCAGGACTGCATTTCTTTTGAACGAGCAGAGCACAAGAGATGGAATTTAGCTGGCTTTAAGTTCTATGTCAGTTGACAGACAATACCTGATCTAGCCTAAAGTTTGCTAATACAAAGACAACCTTTCAAAAATTTTTTTCCAAACCACTGTGAACCAGCAGTTTACATGGGATCAGTGGTTTCCATTGTGTGGTTGCAGCGCTTTTGCTCTGGTTGTAGTAGCCCTCCGGCCAGTTTTTCCATATCATTATGGCCAGATGAGCCTTTGTTTCTTAAACCAAGTAAGCCAAGATATTCTGACCTGCTTCTTATGATAAGCTCTCTGTTCTCTTGATGTTCCCAGTAGCCCTTCCTTGTCTCTATTCCAGTTCCACAAATATATGTAGGAACAGAGCTGAACACCGTATTCTAGATGAAAGCCTTGATTCTATGTCACGTGCTTTATCTTGTCTTGATCCCTCAACACCAGATCCCTCAGTACCATCAGAATTGTCGCATTACAACGGAGAACATTTCAAAGCAGATTGTTTTTCACGTGCTTAGAAATTTTTTAAACGCCGAATACTTTGAACAATGTTTTCATTGCTGTATTCCTTGAAAACAAACTATATGTTGGAAAATTTGAACAAGATCACTTGGGGACGTGTTGTTATTTGGGTTTTTTCCCTTTTTGTCTTAAGTCGAGTTAAAAATACCCTAGCGGGCAGTAGGAATATCCTAGCAGGCAGACTGCTTTTTGAGTTGAGTAAAATCAATGATTATCTTTAATCATGCAAAGAAGATGCTCCAAAGTGAAATATGTAATTTTAGCTCTAGAGAACTTATCTCAAAATTTAGAAGAATAAAAATTGGACTTCTGGAGAGGGGAGAAGCAAACAAAACCAAGTTGCTACTAAAAGCTTTTCTAACCTATTTTTCAAAGCTAGACAGCGAAGTCAGAAAATGTTGGAAACTTCGCTTGACAACAACATTAACTCTGGCACATATATCTGCTTTCCTTTTCTGGCTAAATGCATAGGTCAGTGTAAGCCTCTCTGGTACATTAGCAGGATGTGGTGCTGTTGAAAGTACTCTTGTCTCGTCACTTTGAAACCACGCTTCCTACCTGTGCCAAAAAGCAACTGCAGTGTTTTAACCAGTAAAACATCTCCCCTTAAAGCTGAAGAGGTCTTGAGGAGGCTTTGTCAAAGACATGACATGACACATTAGTCAATGTGGGCAGTAACAGCTCTGCTCCAAATGGGAGTTGGGCCAGCAAGGTGCATCGTGTTATATTGGAGTGCGTGCACAAACAGCTGGGGAAGGGCACCCTAAAGTCATGAACTTCCCCTCACTACTTAGACCCTGACAAAAATTGTAATGTTGCCTCTGGGTGGGTTTTTTTGCAGTTTCCTGTGCCTCTCGAGCGATACACTTCCCCTCCTGAGGATAACCTGAATCTCCTGCGACTCTACTTCCGAACACTGGTCACTGGCGCACTGCGCCACACCTGGTGCCCTGTTCTTTACGTGGTGGCTGTGGCTCATGTGAACAGCTTTATTTTCTCCCAAGACAGCACAACACAGGTAGGTAATGGATAGCAGAGGCTCAGGGCTGAAAGCTTTGGGTTTTGCATCTGCTCTTCCCAAGGTCCAGTGTGGCTTGTGGTGAATCACTGACCCTGGGCTTGAAAACAAAGATTGTAAGCAAATGTTTTCAGGACTGGTCAGCTGTTTGAGAATCCACATATGAGATGCGGACAGCAGCTCTTGTTCATTATACCCTAAAGCACTTGCATAAATGGTAGCCAATCCTACATAAACCTTCGAAGTCAGCAACTACGTGGGCTGTGGTACGGGGGGAAGAATGAAGCAGAGAGGATGAGGGAGCTGATCAGGCAGAGAGAGCTTTAATAGATTTAGCTTCTGCCTGGGGCAGTCTTAAGGTTCAGAGTACTCTTTCCTTTCACCTTGCTTGAATAATCAAGCAGAAACCCTCCCATGGCCTTGGGGCTTCTAGCAATGGTTACTTGAGCTAACGCTTCACCTCTGATCTACAGTTCTACATGAAAGTTGAGAAGTCAGCTGAGTTTCAGGTCAGGGGAGGGAGAAGGGAGGCAGGATCCAAGCAATACCATCTCAAGCCCTTTCTGATGGAACAAGCTGCTTTTTGGAGTATTGTCATAATGAGCAAAGCATCCTCCTGGAGTGCTGTATGCCCATGGGCAAAGGTTGCACTGCGCCATATTAAGCAAACTATATGTTTTGTTCCCAGGAGACTGATGCTGCTCGGAAAAGCATGCTGCGGAAGACATGGCTGCTAGTGGATGAGGTAGGATCTGTAAGGTTCAGTCTGTGCCACGGGGACTTAATTTTTTCAGACACAGTACTTCTACAGATTTACCTTTGGCTTTTGAAATTTGTGTTTAACTACCTTGCTAATTTGAGAATGAGAAGAGATTAGCAGCAGGATTTTTGACCTGCGATGGCTATAAATACTGTTATCCAGTTCTTGTAGTAATTGAACTCAGAGCACTGAGCCCATTGGAACCTAGATGAATCTCCTGTACTGTATTTCATGCCTCTTGCCCAAGCTGCATTATATCTGGATAGCGAGAGGTCCTAGAGAGATGATTCTAGCACAACTATCTATCTACTGTCTAGCACAACACACATCAGGAGTGATCTCCCTTAACTCTTAGTTGGATGCTTCCCCCGAAAAGAACAAAACAGGTGTAAGGGTTCTCTTTTTCTCAGCGAGCTTCCCGAAGTCTAACATTTGTGTGACAGAGCTGGGTCATTTGGCCCTCTATGTTTAGCGTCCAGGGTAAATTCTTAGATGCCACTCAAAACTGCATTTGGGCTTCTGGCAAGAAGTCGTTTTGAGGGGTTGTTGAGGAGACAGTGGAGTTGTGTTCAGAAGAGGAAATCTCATGCAAATCAAAAGTGAATTTTCTTGGAAGAAACTCACCTTTTATAGCTCTTCTATTGAAGATGCAATTAAATATGTTGGGCATGATGGAATTGTTCTATCTGGCAGGTCGCTATGTTGTGTTGGAGACAGTGTGGAAAAGATTAGATTCTTTTCAGACATGCTTAATGGCTGCTGTTTCTTTCTTTAGACCTTGAAAAAGCACCTACTCTACTACAGGCTGCTGAATGCAGAGAGCCCTTTGGGATTTGACCTTTATGAGCAGCTCCCTCCCATGAGACTAAAGTACCTGCAGATGGTGACACAGAAAGAAAATAAGGAGAATGCACCAGCGCTAGTCTCATAGCAAAACACTTGTGCAAGAAGAGGGCCAAGGGGAAGAATGGAAGAGCTCAGCTTATGCTTTACTGATGAAACTATGTGCACTTCAGACAGTTTCAGTGTCTTACCTGGACACTCTTGGCGTCTTTGCAAAGTGAAGCACTAGTAGAATGCTCCCAGCCCTGCAGAACAATACACATCATCTCAAGATATGGCAATATGTATGTGTGGCCTCTCCATGATGAATGCTGGAGCATTTTCCTCCATTCTCTTTCAGGTTGTTCTGCTTCTCCCGGAGAAGGTGAGAATGTGTCTGAGAGGCACAGGACTGTTGAATAAACTGAAGGAAGTGGAAAAGCTATTTTGTTCAGTCAGGCTAGAGATGGTGGGTTCTCTAGCCACAGATCTTTCCCTTGCCTTTTTTGTACCCTGAGTTTTGAATGGTCCTTTCCCCACACTATCCCCTGTGAATAAAATGACAATACAGGAGGGAAAAAGCTGATCCTGAGAGCTTTTTTTTTAAAATACGTATACAAGCAGTTTCTCCAGGACAGTGTTCTGTGCGCAATCAGTCACACAGATGTATTGTGTCAGACCTCTAAGAAATAATGTTTTCTAGTGCAGTGGTACAAACACTGGATATCCTCCCTTGGCTGTCTTTTGGATAGTCTCTAAACTGCTTTCTTTTCTCCCTTAATTTGATTACATGTATAACAAGATCAAAAATAATTTCTTTGCAGGGCAGGATGCTTGGCAGTAACCGTTCCCCATTAGAAGAAAAAAAAAAAACCAAACAAGTATCTGCTTGTTTAACTAGAATACGTATTGGTTGCCCTCTGAGAAGAGGGGAATGTAATTTAAATTTTGAAGCGGAGTTCCTAAGTTTAAAACTAATTTTAAAATGCATAATTTGATCCCACTTCTACATCCAAATTCTGTATTGCAGCCTCAGACACAAGGGCTACAAATATAGTGCCCTAAAAGGCTCATTACAAGTGCCCGGTCAAGTCCACAATTTACCGTAGGTGTGTTCTCACTGGATGTTTCATTTATATCCAATAATTTTTGCAGAACTATGGTCACTCTGGCAGGCTTTTGTTTGGAGAACTTAACTTTAACAAGTTTTGTTCATAAAAGTATTTCTTTTGTTTTGTTCTGGAAGGTACAGGGTGATGCCTAGCCTGAAGACCTAAGCTTCTCTCTGTACCTGTCAAACAGGCCAGGCTAGCTTCCCTGTATTAACCTTGCTCCAGTGAATGTCCTAATAAGAATGTGAAACACTGTTAATAGGCCAGCTTGTAATTGTTGAAATTGTTCCAGACAAGAAACAAATTCTGGCTAGCAACTTTATGGCTGTGGTGCTGTCTTTGCATTGGCAGTTTTCGAAGTGTACCAGTCCCCCTTAGGTTGCCAGAAAATACAGCGTTTCATCTTTTTCCCCCTTATTTCAGATAGGACATGGGCAGAACTGATGTTTCATTTTAATCTCTCTCTTCCCCCCC